CGAGCACTGGCCTTGGCCGGGCGTGCTTTCCCCAGCGCTCAGTGTGACGTCAGGGATGAGTGACCACAAGGACAAGCCTCGGCACCTCAAGGGCACTGTGCCACGTGGACACCTGCGCTCGTCCACTGTCATCTCCCGAGTGTCCCCAACGCACCAGGCGCTCTTCCTGGGAGTCGGTGAAGAACGGGGCACAGGCCCCGCCCACAGGCCGGCGCTCCAGGCCACTGCAAAGGCCACACGCTGCCAGCTATGAGGTCCCGGCCCCGCCGCCACGCTGTCCCCTCCAGAAGCCCTTGAGGTCACACACAGCCAAGCGTGGCTCTCCTCAGCAGCTGCACCGCCCAGGCAACGGCCCACTCGGGGCTGGAGACGACGGGAAGGCAGAGAGGCGGCCGCCTTGCCAGGACAGCCCTCTTGGCTGGCCACCGAGAGAAAGTGCCACAACTGGCAGGCGTCCCAGTGAGTGGACCGAACAGGCAGAGGGGATGGCGGGCTGGGGAGGGCGCAGCACAGATGGACCCGGCCTGGCTGCCACCAATCTTTCTCTGCGTGGCAGAGGACAAAACACGAAGGGACACAGTGCGGGCGTTGAGTGGGGACCCAGACACCAGCCCTGGCCCTCCCCTCCCCACCCCTGTGGGCCCCCTGGTGGGACCCTGTGCTTGGCCAACAGGCGGCCCTCCACTCCCAGTTGTCTGTGGGCCGCAGAGCAGACGTGTAGCAACTGTGAAGGCCCCATGGGTGAGGGGCGGGCTTCTGGCCGCTCACGTTCCCCGGGGGGCTTTGGAAAGCGAGGGACCCTGGAGCTCAGCACAGCCCCTTGAACTCGGCCGGCCCAGAGGCTGCTGGGAGGCGACTGCACGGCAGCCCCAGTCCTAGCCCCCAGCGACAGCAGGGGGCAGAGTCCTCACTGCACTCCCCTAAAGGGGGCTTGGGGACGACGCGGGGAAGCGGCGTACTGTTCCTGGCTGGTTGCTGGGGTGCAGAGCGTTGCCCCCAACCAGGGGCTGGAGCAGCCCGGCCTCAGGAGGCAGATCTGATCCAGTCCAGATGCAGACGGACACCCAGGTAGCCAGCCACCCCCTCCCCCCACCCCCGAGGGCCCCCGGGGCTCCGGCAGGCACCCTGCAGCCTCTGGCTTTCTATGAACAGAGAGCTGGTCCGAGTTACGTAACCACCGCTCCCCGCTCGGCCTCCTGACTCACCGGCTCTGCGGCGCCTGGCGGGGGGCTCAGAGAGAGCGCGTCCACCGGGCCCACCGGCTGCACCCTCCCTGCGCTCCAGGGAGGCCCCGCCCCCCCTCGGGCCCCACCCCCGGGTCTGATTGGCATCGGGCAGGAGAAACCCTCTCGAGCCAGACTTCAAACACGAAAATCTAGATCAAGGATATATTTGGCTTTCCGAGCTAATCTGCATCGGCTTGGTCTCCACTGACTTGTAACCCTTTGAAGAAAACTGGGCAACTACGCGTGGAAGGCAGGTGACGCTTACGTAACCCCAGACAGGAGCCCCGGGGTTCTGGAAGGCTCCGCGGCGCCGTGCTGCCGGGTCGGGCTGGGGCCTGGCATCTACCCGCCCACTTCACCATGACCCGGGGCACCGCCTCCCCACGTGCCCAGGCACCCCGGGGCCTGCCCACCGAGAGTCCAAGGACTCACCCCAGCCCACTTCTGCCAAACGCCTGGGTGCTGCCCGGGTCAGTGGGTGGGGACGACAAGGCCGGCAAGGGGTGCTGCCACTTCTCACCATCCAAGTGACCTCGGCCAGGCAGAGGCGCCGGCAGAGGGATGGCAAGCTGACCCCCCTCCAGGGACCAGAGGACGGACAGACGTCTCAGGGAGGCCTGGGGCTGTCCGAGCTGCCGGCCCTGCTCCTGCCTTACCACCTTCCTCGGGGCGCAGACAGAAAGGGAGCAGGTGATTGCAATAAATCAACGGAAGGGACAGCCTGGGAGGAGCCTGCCGCCCCCTCCTGCTGCACTCGGACAGTGGGTCCCCTGGGGGGTGGGGTGCCTGAGGGCAAGGGGCGCACCCCTGTGGCGGAAAGATCTGAGCTGCCTCCTAAAATGGCGATGTGTTCCAGCGTCATTGCCCTGATGAGAATCCCAGCCACGACGCCCTGTGGATCCCAGCTGCACACACAGGCGTGGGCAGGACTCGCTGGAGGGCCGTGTGGTGGACGGAGCGTCTGACCATCCTCCAAGGCCGAAGGAGGACTCGGGGGAGGGGGGACAGGGCTGCCGACAGCCCACCCACTGGGGCTCCCCGCGGCGAGGCTCCGAGCTGGCACCGCGTGCTCGGGGACTGCGAAGTGCCCGGCGGAGGAAAAGTGTGTGACATCATGTTGTCATGCCCCCACCCCCACCGCAGCTGCATCCCGGGGCCTCCGGGACGGGAGCGGGTCACAGAGCCTGGGGGAGCACAGACAGAGCAATGCCAGGGGACGGGAAGCAGCAGCCACCTTGGCCGGGCAGTGAACTCCTGAGGACGAAAGCCTGGCACTCGCCGGGCCCCGGACAAGCAGCGAAGGTGCTCACCTCGGAGCCTCCCTGGGAACTGGGCTGCTGCTGAGTAAGCGGCCCTCCCCCGGCTGCTCCTGGGGCTCACGGAGCTCGGCCTCCGTCCAGGCGGCTGGGCGCGCGGCTGGGCGCGCTGCTGGCCGCCTTCAGGGGCCACCTGGACCCGTGTTGCGGCAGCGTCTTCGGAGCTTTGCTACAACCCCCACCCCCCTCTCCCCAAAAAAGGCCTGCAAACAGCTCAGAAAGCCTCTGGCCCGTTTCCCCTCCGAGGAAGGAGAGACTCCCTGCGGAGCTCCCCTCCAAAGCAGAACCAAAACACCAAGCCCAGGCCGTGTCCCCGAAACCACAGCTGAGAGCCCCTGGCTCGGCTGACACCAGAAGCATCCCCCGCTCTGCTACCTGGACTCCGGGTCCTAGGTCTGCCTGCCACAGCCAGGCTGCAGGCCAGGCGACAGGAGGCCGGGTGCTCACCTGGGAGCCGGGGACCAAGCGGAGGTGGTTGGCTGGCTTCGAGGCCAAAGCGCCGTTCCGGTCTGGACCGAGCCACCCCTGGCTCTCGGGCGGCCAGACCGGCGCCCGGCGCGAGGCAGGGCACCCCGGCCGGTCTGCCGGCCTGGGGACGGCTCTCGCACACGCCAGAGCTCCCTGCTGTCAGCCTCCCATACGGGTGACAGCCGGTCCTCCGAGACCCACTCACAGAAAATCGCTTGTGCTAACAGTGAAGGGGAAAAAAAAACCACACAAAAGGTCAAACTTCAAAATCAGCAACAGAACTATTTCCTAAAGCAAAACCCCAAGAAGGGCTCGCTCGGGGGATGCTTGAGGGGAACCAGGCTCACGAATTCTGGACCGGCTTTCTTCCCTGCTATTTACTCTGCTCTCTTATCACAATGCACTAATCTCTCAATCTGGCAACTTAGTCATAAAAAAAAATATGTCGGTTCAAATAACTTGCAGGCAGTCAAAACAGCCAAGTGCAGACAGCGGCTGGGGAGGTGCTCAGAGGTCGGGCGGGGGCCCGCCAGGCCTCCCCAAGGCCGGGGGCTCTGGCTGAGACCCGAGGGCGAGGGCAGGGTGCGAGAGGGGTCGCCGGCACAGCCTCCTGCTCCATTTTGTGTGCGCCCGGCGCCTTATCTAGTCCACGCACACGCGCGGATCCAGGCCGAGCCAGTGCCCAGCACCAGCCGCCCTTTCCCAGCCCAGGCCGGCCAACAAGACCCCGCCTCCCGGAGAAGGGAAGTCGCTTTCCAGAAAAAGGCCCGTGATAACACTGGACAGTGCTCACTGGCTGTCGTAAACAGTCTTCGCCCCGAGTGGGGGACCATCCCCTGTGTCGAGGACAGCTAGGACACGCGGGCGAGCGCCGTCCTCTTTCGATTTCTCAAAATCAGGACGCGCACTCGATCCTCCCGGGGGCTCGCTCCCCCCGGCTCTGACCGGCTGGCGGCGGGGGCGGCTCGGGCGGCCGCCCCGGCTGCCTCCCCAACGCGGGAGCGCAGTGCATCCCAGTGGACGAACTCGGGAACCGCACGCTGCCTCTCGCCGCCTCCGCCTACGTCCCCTCGGCTCTCGCTGGCAACCTGGGACCCAAACGCACCAGCTCCGCGGAGCCCCCAGCGGGAGGGCTCCGGCTCGGAGGCGGCCTGCCCCGCCGGGGGACAGCTGTGCCGCGCTCAGCTCTCAGCCGCCCGAGGCAGGGGTTGAAGCCGAGCGCCCACGCGGGCGGGCAAAGTTTTCGAAAAGGGGGCTTCTTGGGCACCCCCCACCGCCGGCTCCAAGCCCCATTCCAGCTCGCCCTGGAGTCCCAGACACAGACAAGCCCCAGGGCGCTCCCACGGGGGTTTCAGTGTGTAGCCGGGTGGGTGGGGGTGCCCGCTCGAGCTCCCCTAGAACCCCAGCATCTCGCGCCCCAGCTGCCGGCCAGCTGTGCGCTCCCGTGGAGCCCAGAGGTCACCGACAAACAGCTGGATGGGCAGCTGGAAACCCAGGAGGCCCCTGCTCGGCGCTGGAGCCCAGAGAACGACGAAACCGGAGCTCGGAGGCTGTTTGCTTCCGCTTTCCTCCAACTCCGCCTGCCGAGCTCGCGCCCGGAGCGGGGAGCTCGGGCTCTCCCCGGCAGCCCCAGCCCCCGCCCTGGGTCCACGGCCCGCCGCTCCCAGCCGCCGGCGTCTCGCTCCGGGCCCCGGGGATGAGGCGCGCCGGGGCGGCCCGCCAGGACACTGCGCTGCTGACGCCGCGAGGTGCCGGCGCCCCTGCCCGGACCCCAGGCGCGCGGAGCCCAGGAGAGCGGGCCGCTCCCTGAGGAGCCGCTGGGCTCGGAGCTCCAGACTGGCGCCCCGACCCGGCTCCCGGTGCACCCCGCTGGCCGCTCGCGCGGAGCGGGGAAGGAGTCCCTTTATTTGCAACACTGAGGAAAGCGCCCTTCCGCCCAGCCCGGCACCCACGCACCCACCAGCACCAGGGCGCTGGCCGGGTCGCTCACCTGAGTCCTAAAAGCTGTTGAATCCACATGGTCACGTTTCGGGGAGCGGAGCCTCAGACCTTGCTCGCCCCGGCCATCTGCGCGGCGCCCGATCCCGCTCGCTTTCGTCCCGCCGCGCCGGTCTCTGGCTCTCGGTCCGCCGCCCGCCGCCCGCCGGCCGCGGGGCGCAGAGCGAGTCAGAGCGCGGCCGCGCGGGGCTCCATGCCGGCCGGCGCGCCGCCGCCGTTGGGGCGCGTGGCTCAGGCCGGGCGGCCCGCGGGGACGCACATCCTCCGGCCGAGGCGTGGGGCTCGCAGCCCCCTCTGGGGGGGACCCGGCGAAGGCGGCGGCGAGGCCCGTGGGGAAGGGGGAGGCTGGCCCGGGAGAGGGGCGCACTCCTGCGCTGCGGCCGTGCAGCGAGGGTCGCAGGACCAGCCGCTTCGCCCTCCGGGGCGGCGAGGAGGGAGGCAGGGCAGGGCAGCGCCGCCGTGAACGGTGCGTGTCTCTAGCCTCCAGTCGGAGCCCCGCGCCGAGGGGGCGGCGCAGTCCGGGAGTGCGGGGGGAGGCGGTGACTCGAGAGGACGCGGGTCCTCTCCGCGCGCCGCCGGGCCAGGGGGGCTCTGCCTGCGCTCCGTCGCCGGTCGGCACAACCCAAGTTGGCCGGGGGCTCCGTCTGAGCTCTTGCTCTGCAGACGGCCGTGGCGCCGGAGGCGGGCAGGAGGCGGGCACGGGAGGCGCGCGGGGCGAGGGCGCCGTGGAGCGCGGGGCGTGGGGACGCGCGGCGGCGGCGGCGCGGCGCCTAGGAGGCGCGCGGGGATCCCGGGGCCCCGCTGCCCGCGCCCACCGCGCCCGCCGCAGAGCCGCCTCCCTCCGCGCGTCTGTCTCTCCGCGCACTTGCCCCCGCCTCCCGGAGCGGGTCCCAACTCCGCCCGCCTGGCCCGGCTCACGTCACCCGCTTCCCCGCCCCTCGAACTGGAGCTCGAGCCCCCTGTCCGGCCCCGGCCGCCGTTCTCCGCCCCACCTCGCGGGGGCCCGACTCGCCGCGCAAGGCTCTGCCCGGCCCGGGCAACACCAGGCGGGCCCCGGCAGCCCCTTGCTCATCCGCAGCTGGTCCGGGTCTCCACCTCGGGAAAGGCCCGAGAGAGGCCGTGGGATCCGATTGGACCGCCGGGCGCCTCCGACTGGTGTTGCCACGGCAACCAGATGGCTTGCGAGGCAGTTCGAAGTTCCTACTCGGTTGCGGGTGCGTCCGGTGGACCGGGAGAGCTGCTTTGGGGAAGAGGCGTTTCCGCGGGAGCACCTCGGGGACGCATGGAGAGGGGCTGATCGGAAAGTTCCTCCAGATGGAGCTGCGCGAGGGGTCCACGCGGCAGTGCGTGGGAGGCGGGAGGATCCGCTCCTAGGATTCCTTCTCTTCCCGGCGCCTGGGCCGCTGCCCGGGCCTCCGTCTCGGTCTCTGGCTCTGACGGAGAAGTTCCTGGCCAGAGTGAAGCACCTTCTGCCCCAGCCCAGCCCAGCCCAGCCCAGCCCGACTCCCCAAGCGTCAGCAGGCCCCCGCTGGGTGCCAGGCAGCGCCTGCTCGCCCACCTGCTTCCGGGCCAGGCCCTGACTTGGAAGGGGGCGGCTGCAGAGTTCCAGGACCCGGCCTTCCAGAGTTCACGCCCCCCGCTCTGGTTGGCCCACTTCCTCCTGGTCCAGAGACTTCCCGGGGCCACCTGGTCAGGCCGCACTTTTGCAAGACAGCGACCAGCGGAGGAGAAGACGCCCGAGGGGGGCCCGGTTCCCTGGGAGAAGTGACAGGACGCACCGTGGAGAGCCCGCCGGCTGACGTCCGGAGAAACGTCAGACAGAGCCCTGCTTTCCGCCCTCGGCACCCCGCCCTCGAGAGAGGTGCACCTCTGGGCCTCAGAAATGGCGCGGCACAGCTCTGACCCAGCAGGTGTGGCATGGGGCCCGGGGAGGGCGGGTGCTGCTAACTCACAGGCGGCCTGACCCCTGCAGGGGCTCCCCAGCTGGTCTCCGGAACCACCACGGCAGCCCCCAGCGGGGAGGTGCCCCTGGTGCCTGGGGGAGCCAGCCCAGCAAGGCCAGCAGGCCCTTCCTCCCCGGGCCCCCAGACCCTTGCAGAGCAGTGTCCGCTGCGCAGCCAGGAGGCCCAGCTGGCAACCTGCGTCCCCAGGAAGCCGGCAGAGGAAGGGGCAGGAGGCAGGCAAGTGTGGGGGCCGAGGCCCCAGCCTTCACCCTGGCAGCCCCTGTCGGCTAGACCGTGGGGTCCTGGGCTGTGATTGACCTCTCTGACCCTTAGCTTCGCCTTGTGAAACATTTTTACATTCCCTGCCACACAGGGATTCTTGTAGGGATTAAGAGAGGCAGCGCAGCACCAAGCTGAGTCAGCCCTTTGCCCGATCTTCCCAGAGGCCCCTCTGCCCCTCCCCGGGGGGCAGATCCGCAGGAAGGGTGGTGGGGGGTCCTGGAAAGGCTGGCTGGGCCCAGGATAGCCCGGAGAGCGGGGCGGCCGCACGGCTGCCCCCTAGCGGGACCAAGTGGGAGTGCTGCGCCCGGGAGACCCTCCCACAGCCCCAAGAACTCTGGAGGAGGTGCACGTAGCAGGGCGCCCCAGCCCCCAGCCACTCTGCTCCACGGACCCCTGGGGCAGCCCCGTGCCGGGCGGCAGACCCCCCCCCCCCCACTCAGAGCGTTTTCACTGCACGCCCTAAAATGCACAGGAGGAGGAGGAGGCCAATACGTTGGAGTGCATTGTGAACATTTTAACAGAACAACGTTCTGATGTGGCGATGTGTGTGTTCCTCTTACCAGCACATCAAGTAATCACTCCGCCGCACAGAAAAGTGCCGGAATGCGGGCGTGCAGATGCGCAGCGGCGACGCGCGGAGACGTCCGCCCTCTCGGCGCCGGGGAAAGGGGACGTGGGACAGCGGCAGGCGGGGCCACCGCGGCCGTCTGCCACGGGCATGGTTAACGGAAGGGAACCTGAGTGAGTCTGCAGTTCGAGTTCGCGGACACAGAGATGCCCCCACCCAAGTGTGAAGACCCTTTAAAGTCTGTCCACGACGTACCTGGGGGGCCTGCCCCCCAGGGGTGAAGCCAGGGCTACCCAGAGAGTCAAGAGGAGCGTGTTCTGAGAGCAGACCCAGGGCTGAGCAGTGACAGAGCCCGGAGGGTCTCGGGCGCCCCCATGCTCCCCAAGTGCGTGCAGGCCTCTGTCCTGTGCGGGGAGGGGCCCGTGCCCTCCCTGCGCCCCGGCTGGCGCACGCGGTCTCAGATCAGGCAGGCCGTGCGTTTCTCTCGGCCCCGCGCGCCAGGAACTCCAGGCCAGGCCCCGCACGGAGAGCGCCTCCTGTTACTGCGTCGTTATTTTCGGCCTCAACGAGAATGTTGTCATTTGCTGCGTGCCGAAACAAGATGAAACCACGGCCTACGTTTCCCCGGCGCTGTGACTGCTTTCCTGGACTCGGACAGACAGCGTCTCGGGGGTGGGGCCGGTTCGCTTTCCTTCTCTCCTGGGAACTGAGAGGGTGAGCGCATCACTTAGAAGCCAGCATGCACGCGGCTCACACACACACACACGCACACACGCCCACACACACACACGCAGCTGCAGCAGGTGCCGGAGGGAAGCTTTCAGATGTGCCTGCTGTGGGCAGATCGCCAGGTCCCCAGCCACCTCCTGCCCTGCCCGCCTGTTGCCCCCAACCCCCGGGGGAGAGACCTGCGCTGTGCTGGGACAGGGGTACCCGGGGCCTCTCCGAGCTCCTCCCCTCGCCCCACCCCCGCTTCCCAACCTCGCGGCTGTCTGACCCTGCAGGCTCCCTCTTTGAAGCCAGTGCCCCAGTGGCCTCCCTGGCCCAATGAGGACGTCCCAAGCCAGACGGACCTGCCATTGTTCATTCTCCTCCTGGGGAGGCCGGTGTGTCGTAAGCGTGACATTAGACTAAGTAACTGAGTTTGTAGTTCTGAGTGAACGGGCAAGGGCTGAGTAAAACCATCACATGCCCCTTTCAAGCAGCCGCAGTGGGGTCTTCCCTGCCCGTCCCTGCCTCACCTACCTGAACCCTCCCTCACCCCCAGGAAAACTTGCGGGTGGTGAGGGGGGAGGGGGCGGGGCAGGGACTGGGGTCACTTTTCCTTCCTTCTCCCAGGAGGTCAAGCGCCCAGAGGCTGGTGTTTCTGCCCTGCATCTGAGCCACTCCCAGGCGAGGCTGCCCAGGTCTGCACACCGCACCCCGCCCCTGCCCCAGGCCGAGTGCCAGGGTCAGGCTGCTGGGTCAGAGATCAGAGAGAGAAGCCGGGAAGCCCCTCAAACACACAGAGGCAAATGACTCACAGGACACTCATGCCCCCAGCCCAGGGCCAGCCGGAGACAGGGCTGGGTCTCTCCTGCCGCTCATGCACACGCGTGTTCAGAGAGAGAAAGGTGGTCCTGGCTCGCTCAGGGTGGGTGGTGGCAAGGAGCTGCCCAAGCACTCAGCCTGGCCTGGCATGGGGGAAAACCCTCACTCCAAGGTGCTTCGGGAGTCTCTGTGCTAATGGGTCTTCCTCTTCTGTGTAGATGGGAGAAGTGAGGGCTCATTTGCATTGCAAATTAGAGTGGCACCGTTTGAACCCGCCCCTTGGCATGGCGGGTCCGGGGTTTGGGTGTGAAGCTGGAGAGAGGTCGGTGGGTGGGCGGACAGACCTGCAGGGGAGCGGGTCAGGGGCTGGGCCGGCCTGGGGGGCTGGGGGGGGGGCGCCTCGGGCCCAGGAGAGCCCCTACCTTCTGTCCTAGCTGTGGCTGGGCCAGCCTGAGGCTGTGTCCTGCGCTGCGGCTCCCCTCCAGGGCGGCGGTATTATCATTAAGCCGAGCTGGGGGGGGATGGGTGGGGTAGCCTGCTGCGGGCGGGGGGGCGGGGGCAGCTGTGGAGGGGGGTACCCAGGGCAAGGAGCAGGGACAAGGTGAGTAACTGGGAAAGGATGTGAGAACATTCCCTTCCTCCCTCAGCTTCCGGAAGACTCTGCCTGCGGGGGGAGGGGGCACAGGAAGGGGTACCGGGGCCGATTTCTGGGGTGCCAAGCACGAGGAGGGAGAGCAGG